TGCTACAGTCAATTGCTGAAACTGATTGCGCCGACGCCGATCATGTCCGTGATGCCTTGCTGTACCAGACATACGTCGACGACATCTGCGTAGGCGCGGATTCAGTTGAAGGTGCTTTGGAGTTCCAATTGTCCTTACAGCGTATTCTCGCAAAATCTGGGCTTGAACTTAAAAAATGGTCCAGCAACACTCATGACATTTTGTCGTCTGTGCCGGCAGCTGATCGGGTAAGCACGCCATTACCATTCCACGATTCCGAAGACGGAGGAACAAAGGTACTCGGATTGCAATGGAACCCCAACGATGATTTTTTCAGCTGTGCGTTGCGCTTTCAACCATCTCCAATATTCACTAAACGTGGCGTGCTGTCAACGGTGGCCAGAATATTCGACCCGTTGGGGTTATTCGGCCCTACAATTTTTTGGGCAAAATGCATCATGCAACGGACTTGGCAACTAGGGTTGGCATGGGATGATCCACTGCCTCCTGAAATTCATGCTGACTGGTCCTCGTTTCTGTCCGATCTGCCATCGTTATCGACGATTCGTGTGTCACGTCACTTCAGCACGTTCGGACAATCTTCATGCTACTTGTTGGGCTTTTGCGATGCTTCGCAGCTTGGATATGCCGCGGTCGTATATGTGCTGTCAGCTGAGTCATCAGGTGTTCAACCTGCCGTTCTCGTCGGGTCTAAGACCAAGCTTGCTCCGATGAAGCCATTAACTATACCACGGCTGGAGCTGAACGCCGCATTGCTACTCGCTCGGTGGCTTGGGCGCATCAAACGAGTATTGGATCCTCATCTCAAGATTGTTGGGACTTACGGCTGGACCGACTCGATGATAGTCCTATCCTGGTTAACGGTCCCTCATACGTCATTCAAGGTGTATGTGTCCAATCGTATTCATCAGATCCGCACCATAGTGCCTGATTGTAAGTGGAGCCATATTGAGTCGACAAACAATCCTGCCGATTGTGCGTCAAGAGGTGTGATGCCTTCAGAACTCACGAAGCTATCACTCTATTGGCAAGGTCCTGCGATTCTTCGGGCCAATCCATCTACGTGGATAAATCTCGTAGCACCCATGCCAGTGTGCAGCTTACCTGAAGTGTTACCAGTTTCTCTCACAACTCGAATCGACCCGCACGACACTCTAGAAGAATGGTTCAACCGTTTTTCATCATATGACCGCATGATTCGCGTCACCACCATAATGCACCGTTTCATCAACCGGTGCCGTCGTTGCGATCTTGAACCACTTCCGACGAAGTGTCTGAGTCTGGTTGAGGTCGACTGTGCAACTCGCAGTATTATCAGAGAGTCTCAACGTATTCACTTCTCTGACCTATTACGTGAGCTATCAAGTGGGACCAGGGTATCGTCAAAGCCGTTGGCTCGTTTAGCTCCGTTCGTCGACGATGTTGGAATCATCCGAGTTGGTGGTCGCCTTCGTCATTCCACCCTATCGTACGAGTGTAAACACCCAACGTTAATTGCCAAGCGCTCCCATTTAGCGCTATTGATTTGTCGTCGGTGGCATCGCCTAACGTGCCACTCCGGCCCCCGTGTCATGATATCACTCATTTTACGCCAATACTGGATCATCGCCATTCGGTCGGTTGTACATGAAGTGGTGACAAAATGTTCCGTATGTGTTCGTTCAGCTGCAAAACCTCCTCAACCTTTGATGGCGGACCTCCCTGCTGCACGCGTGCAACAAGTCCGTCCATTCGCTCGAGTCGGTGTGGACTATGCTGGCCCCCTACAAATGAGAGAGTTAAAGCTTCGGAAATCTCGGAGCTATAAGGTCTACATAGCAGTGTTCGTCTGTTTTACTATCAAGGCTGTCCACCTTGAAGTGGTGTCGGACTTGTCAACGGATGCGTTCTTGGCAGCGTTTGACCGTTTCGTCGGCCGTCGTGGACTCCCCAGTGATGTATACTCCGACTGCGGAACAAACTTCGTAGGTGCTGACAAGCAACTGCAAGCGCTTATTAACAGCCCGCAAGGTCAGCTCGCCATTACTACCAACTCTCGTCCACATTGTAAATGGCATTTTAACCCCCCCAGTGCTCCGCATTTTGGTGGGTTATGGGAGGCGGCTGTCCGGTCCACTAAGCGTTTGTTGGTTCGCACAATGAGCACACACGTCTTCACCTATGAAGAGTTCAGTACTGTCCTGATCCGCATCGAAGCCGTCCTCAACCCTCGACCACTGACGCCCGCATCCACAGACCCTCATGATTTGGAGTGTCTCACACCTGGGCATTTCCTCATTGGACAACCACTGCTCGCCGTTCCACCTCGTTCCAACCCAGATGCTACCCGTAACTTGAACAATCGGTGGAAGTTACTGGACCAGTGCCATCAAGCGTTTTGGAAACGTTGGTCAACGGAGTACTTGACAACGCTCCAAGAACGCGTCAAATGGACAAGTCGTGTCCCTAATGTAAAGGTCAACGACATGGTCGTCGTGGTTGACAATCAAGCACCACCTTTATTATGGCGTCTCGGGCGCATCATTGAACTAGTGCCAGGACCCGATGGAACCGTGCGAGTTGCGTCGGTGTTAACGCATCAGGGACGCATCACACGACCAGTAGTTAAATTGGTTGTGTTACCGACCGACTGAAAATATAAATTACCCTGGCCCCCAAACGATTTAGTATTTGCCTGTTTGTTATTTGTGTTTTACCAATTATACGTGCATGAATCTCACACTTCAACATGACACCCATATGCTATGATCAACATAACTGACGTATGTGGCGGTCACCTGCGATGTTCTCGCTGGAGGGGGTTGGGGGAGCTGTATACTGTACTGTTTTTGTTCAAATATGTTTAGTATAATTATTTTATGGTTTATATCCATTGTTACCATAATATGTAACATATATGTATTTATTTTTTGTATGAGTTTTCAATGCAATTATGTTTTTTTTTTTTTTTTTTTTTTTTGTGTTACACATCTACTTTGAGTTATATAAATTAGGTTCAACATCATCGGCGGCATTTTCACAATGACAAGCGGAGCTTCCCATGGGGGAGAATGTTCAAACTGCCGCCTTTTACCTCTTTGGATGTCACCACCGGTGCGTGTGGTATTGCACGATAACACTCGCAGTCCCGAACTTTAGACTTCTCCCCCCATGCCCACAATCTGGACGGCTCGGACGTCGTCTCCGTGCCGCCTGTTACTATTCAGTCTGCGAAGTCTACGTTCCACGGTGCCGATGTACAACGGCCCGTGCGTTTTGCGTGACATTTTTGATTGCCGTGGCATCTCTTATTGTGGTGATTTCACGTGTTGCGTCTGCACGTGCGTCAATAGTATTGTGCGGTGTTGTTGTCGTGGTGTTCCGGTCGCCGTTCGGACCACTTCATTCGGCTCTACTTTGGGCCATACTGCATATTAGTTTTGTGTCTCAATCCGAAAACCGCGTGTGCGACGCCACAACATCACGGCTCACGGGACCCCCCGTCATCTGCTCGGAATCGGCTTATGCCATACAATCGTCGAGTGCGTACCGTGTCGGTTTGAGAATACCATTTTACGTTATCCGTTACAGTTTAAATAAGTATTAAGTATCGCCGCCGCCGCCGCCGCCGTAACGTCATTGTGCCGCCGCCGTCAACAGCTGGGGTCATCGTACTGTCACCTGCCGCCGCCGCCGACGTTATCATCGTCGACGTTATCATCGTCGTAACATATCACCGACTATCACTGCCATCGCTGCCGTGGTATCGTTGTTATTATTATTGTTGTTATATTTTACAATTGTCAAAAGGACATATTATCATTATTTTTCTATCATCGTAATTATTATTCGCTGACCGTCAAAGAGACGTCTTCACGGTCACGAGTCTGTACAATATTTACTGATATACCTACGAATTATTATTAATTCCATATTATATATTATCATTTAACAATCCAACTTTGTGTTCACATTTAATTCAAAAAACCATTGTCACCTCACTCCCATCCCGACGCGAGTCGTCGTGGCTAACCGCCATATATCGTAGGAGTTACGTCGGCGTCAACAATAATAATAGTAATAACAGTCATTATTATTATTTTATAATATCACAACATCATTACATTTAAATATATATCACTGATGATACGTAATAAAAACATATTATAAAATGTTTATGACGCGTATACAATATAATTAAAACGTGCAAAAATAACAAAATACAAATACAAATACTGAACAACGAAAAAAAAAGAACATGATGCAATATCATAATAATTATCTCCAACACGCACGATTATCTAACCCATATATTATATACAGCGGTCAATGTAGAGTCGTCTGTACACAATATTGTCGGTCGTATTATCCACATTGGCCTATTAAACGGGGTGATTCATTCAACGTAAGACTTCATTCAATATCTGAGAAGACATTAACGTTTTTGAAAATATTTCTTTTCATGAGGAATTCCGCCTGTAGCAACTCAATATGTAAGCTGTATGTCCAAAATTTGATTTTATACATCAAAGTGTTAAATACTTTAAAAATAATTCTATGTACTTTGAAATAAGGAATTAAAAACACACGTTGTCATTTAAAAAAAGTAAAACAAAAAAAAATATTTTTCGAAAACGCTAATTGTTTTTAAATAATGAGTGTCTCACTATAAATGAATCAACCGGTATATCGTTATAATATTATATGTTTATAGATTAAAGGTAAGGTAGGTACAGCACAAGAGATAAAAAAGAAAATGCGTGATACGCACTTTTATAGTCATAATATGCAATGTCGCTTAATATTAAAATAATTAGGACGAAATATTTTAGTATCGTATATTTTACCCCGGTCCGTACTATACGCCGCCGTGTTCTGTATAATATAGTAGTAGAGATCGCGAGACTGCCGGTCGTATGTATGTACACAAAACGTAACACCAATCAATGGTAAAACACAATAATTTTAATATCTCGTGCATATTATTATCATGGCCACGCGGATATCTGCGCAGGGGAAGGCTACGCGAGCCGCAGAAATTCGCGATTCGTGTAGATCGGTTGAGTGAGGATGATTTCGCCGCTGGTCCGACCGATTGCCGCTTCAGAAGGCGCCGCCGTCTCCATCGCCGGGACTTCGGTGACAGTCGTGAACGTCGAATAGTTTGGCGGGGCCATGTTCATTTCCACTTCGTTGCTGATCGACAGAGACGGGTTCAGGGTGCCCTGAAGGAACGTGCCGGGCCGGCTGCTGTAATGAGTAGAGCCGTACTCGGGCGGTGGCTGACGAAAAACAAATAAAGTAAAAACATATTAATGACCAGCAAATAAAACGCGCGATATAGGAAAGGCCGTATATTAGGCTGTACGATATTGTATCAGTGCGATTTGAAATAATTTATTCTATGTACATACGTTTTTACCTCCCGTATAAGAGTGCTAGGTATAAACGATATTAATAATTGGAAAACGTGAACGGTGAAAAGCACCTCCTCTCGTCACACGGTCAATCGCGCCATCGCCGTGTAAATTTGGGCAGCCATGGACCATGGTATAGGTATAAGTATCGATATGGTATTATAATGTATTTAGAAGCACTGCAATATTGTATACAGTGGAGTCATTTGGGGGGGGGGGGCAGCCGGGTTCAATTGCTCCACCCTTGATTTTTTATGGACTGGTCAAATTTTCGGTACGATAGGTGAATAGGGTTGATTGAATGGCGGATCTACTTAATGTTAAGGGCCCTGCAAATGTGTCATTTTTAAAGAGTTGTGTTTAGGCAATTATTTCGTGTCGTGTACTGATCGTCTTTGTGTGTGTGTAGTAAATGATCATTAGTGTGTGTATACTCCCCTACCGTTATCCGCGACCAGCATCAATTTACAATACATTGTTATTTCTTATCTGATTTATAGTCGCACGCAAGCACACTCACAAGTCATTTAATGTCTAGATCAAAATATTCAAAACTAATATTATATGGACGTGAAATAGCCATCGCACTGACAAAAATTAAGGTACTTCTAGTGGTTCGATTTAAAAAATGTAAAGATGTTTGTGTTGGTAAACAAGTTTACTTTGCATCGGTCGAAGCACTTTTTCAATTTTAGCAAATTCTTGACGAGAATAAATATTTTACATTTTATAGATTTATTATAAATTTTTAGTATTGAATATATTCAAAAATATCAAAAATATGCTCAGACTGATGCAAAGTAGACTTGTTGACCAATTAAATCATCTTTACATTTTTTAAATCGAACCACTAGAAGTACTTTATTTTGTCAGTCACTAAGATAATTTTGATGAAAAATGAATAGGTAGTTTAATTTTATTATTTGTCTACTTATTTTATAGATTTATGAATGAACTTGACAAACGTACAAACAACAATATTATTTTAACCTGTACTATATTTATTTCTTCAAATCCTGATTACTTTAACTTCAAAAGTCCCTATCTTCAAGCTTTTTTGAATCACTATAATTATTTCAATATTAATCCTATATTTCCAGAGTCTGAATTTCTTATTGCCAAAAACCTACTGTCTAAAAACAAAAATAAAACCAGTGAAGATGGTGTTCATGATCTTTTTTCCATTTCAAAAAAACTGTTGGAACTTCCAAACTATTTTCCAGAGACACTAAAAATTATTTCTACTCTAATAACACTACCAGTATCAACTGCTTCCAACGAACGCTTTTTTCGTCATTAAAACGTATAAAAACATTTGAACATGCTTAAGACTAACAATGACTGATGAGCGCTTGAGTGATTTGCTAGTGATTGCTGTTGAAGGTGATGAAGCTTCAAAAGTTGATCTTCGGGAAGCTATTGATCTATTTGCAGACATGAAATCTCGTAGATATTCTTGAAAAGCTTAAGCTTATATTTATTTTTGCTATTTTATTTAAATTTAAATTATATCATATTGTGAACCAGTATATTATTATTATAAATTATTGGCTATATTATTTATTTTTCTTCTAAAAAACGCTGGCTTAATAGAATAATAGATACAGCATTAGTTTTAAAAAATATTTGTTTTGTTATTCTTTTAACAAGTTTGTACTACACTTATTATTTTAACTAAAGTAACACAGGGCCCATAAAAATTTTGCCCCCGTCCTAAGAAAAACTGAAATGACGCCCCTTATATTATTTTATTATATATATATAATGTGATGAAACTCACCTGATTAGTGCAGTCAAAAATAGGAACTTTACGGTCTTTTTCTATGTCGTCGTAACACGGCGGCCTGTTTTGCATTTTCTGCTTGACGAACTCGTTCAGCGAACTGTCACTGGCCACTCTGCTCATCGAATCGCACCTGCAAAAACTGCACCTATAACAATGTCTCTAGGTCAAACAGGGGTAAAAAATCCCCTGAAAAAATTAGGTACCAGCAGGGTGGCTCGAGTTGTAAGTGGGATATTACGTAAACCATATAGAATCCTATATACATCGTTCATCGATACATATAAGTTTTTAAGTAAACTGTGTCTCCAGTTTAAAAAAGTTAAAGGTGAACCGAGTGCTCATTTTAAAAAAAAGTTTACAACTTGAGTAAACTAAATACGTATAGGTACCTACGTAGGTAAATTATGTAGGTATTTAACTATTTTTGATGCCACGATGGATACGATAACTACGATTATGACTGTAGATTAATAGGTATAATAATTAATAATATCCATGATTCGTGGTTGTGGAAAAGTAATATTATTAATTAGGTAGGTACCTACTGTCATGTTATTATTAGGTCAGTAACCATTACAATATTGTATTACATATTATTAAAAAGTAAATATGGTTAACTATTATTTATTAAACTATAACATCATGATGTTTAGAAGTCATAATTTAAATTATTTAAATATATCACTTAACTAGTTCCGCGGTGGCAGCCGATCGATACGCACGTATCTCGCGCTCCCGCTCTTCTTAATTTCCTAATGACCTAATTAGTGAATGTCTACTTTCAATGCTATAGTAGTGTATACTTATTACCCACAGTGTTAAACTTAACGTTAAATAACTTTGTTTTTTTATAAAACTTTCCATGATAAACTGTTTAAGGTAGTGCGTAATGCGTTTTATTCAAGTGCCAAAACGCACTATTATTTTATTATACGTAAGCCTCAGTGTTATTACGTAACTGTTTCATTGCGGTTATCTTATCTCCGACCGCCGTCAGGCGGTCTCGTTTCATATTATAAATATAACTGTTCACCGCCGCTTACTCATTAATTAATATGCCGACAAAAAAAACTAATCAAAACACCAACGCTAATCAACAACCCAAACTCAAGGAAAAAACGCATAAACAATCAGGTAATGATAATACTCAAAATAACATGGATAAGGATGTAAATTCAAGCGACCCCTTCATCCTGGTTAAAAATAAAAGAATTCTTTCTTCCTCCTCGCAAGCATCATCTGTGAGTGCTACTTCAAAATCTTCTCAGACACATACGCACAAAAAAACAAAATTGTTCCAATCAACAAATCGTTTCCAAATCCTTTCCCAAGAGGTTGTGACTGGTCCTGACACACCATTGCCTCCAAATCTGGATAATGACAACCACGATGATGTTTTCAAACCTCCCTCTCCGATCTTTGTGAGAGGTATACGCAACTTCTTAGATCTATCAAAAGCACTCATCGAACTAATCGGTGTGGATAACTTTTTCTGTAAAGCATCCGCTGACCGTCTAAAAATCCAAACAGCTAACCCGGAATCATACCGTTCCCTTATCCATTTCTTAAAAGACGAACAAGCAGAATTTCATACTTATCAACTGAAAGAGGACAAACCTCTCCGTGTCGTCATACGAAACCTGCACCCAACCACGAATCCAGAGACAATTAAAGATGAACTTGAAATCCGCATGTTTCATGTCAGACGTGTTACAAACGTGCTTCACAAAGTGACCAAAGCTCCACTTCCTCTTTTTTTCGTTGACTTGGAGCCACAAATCCAGTCAAACGATATTTTTCAACTTACATCGCTCTTACACACAAAAGTTAGAGTCGAAGAACCCTACAAGGCCAAAATAATAAGTCAATGCAATAATTGTCAAGAGTATGGCCACACCAAAACCTACTGCGGCTACCCTCCGAGATGTGTTCGTTGCGGTGCCAATCATAAGTCACCTGAATGCCCAAAGCCACGTTCGGATCCTCCAAAATGCGCACTCTGCTCAGGTGACCACCCGGCGAGCTACAAAGGATGCACCATCTATAAAGACCTCCAGCGTGCCAAAAAACCAACTTCTAAAGGTAACTTTGCACCAACATACTCTAGACCCAACTCATCAAATGTTAAAGATACTCATCCCTCCAATGACACTCACCCAAATCACTCTAATGTTCACACCCCCACTTATGCCCAGGCCACCTCTGGCAGAGCTACCAACAACACGACTTCCGAATCAACTACTGATTTAAATATTACTATCACTAAATTCCTTGAGGATTTTAAATCTCTGATTAATCCTCTCTTGTCACTACTTACCAAAGTAATAGAAAAGTTACTTATCAAAGCATAATGCCTTACAACTCAATTACAAATAAATCTCTATTAATACTACTATTTAATGCTAACGGTTTAAAAAATCATGACAACGAACTGCAAAATGTTCTATATAACAGACGCATTGACATTGCCCTAATCACTGAGACGCATTTCACTAAATATTCTACCATTCATATCCCCGGATACAAGCTATTAAGAACCAACCATCCTGACGGAACAGCCCATGGTGGCGTTGCCATACTAATTAAATCCACTGTCCTTTTCGAACCCCTTCCAAATTTCTGTTTTGATCATCTTCAATCATGTGCAATTATTGTAAAACTAAATAACATTCCTATTACCATTGCTGCTATCTACTCCCCTCCTAAACACAAGCTCACAGTTAATCATTACGCTAATTACTTTAACACAGTTGGTAACAACTTTTTAATTGGAGGTGACTTCAATGCAAAGCACCACTCCTGGGGCTGTCGCGCCAACAACCCCCGTGGTTCAGTCCTTCACAACTTTGTATCACACAAAAATTTTAAAGTTCTTGCCCCCCCCTGGTCCAACATATTGGCCGACCTCGGTTCGTAAAAATCCTGATATTTTGGATATTTTTGTGGCAAAAATTCCAAATAATATACATAGTAACACTGCTAACATCCTAGACCTAAATTCCGACCATTCCTCAGTAATTTTAACTTTAAATGTCTCTCCACCTCTACGTCCTGTTCCTCCAAAGTTATTCAATTGCACCACAAATAAACTCCAATTTCACGATCTTGTAGATCATCGTATTAAACTTAATGTCAAACTTAAATCTAAAGACGACCTTGATTCAGCTGCTATCAATCTTACAAACATCATCCAATCGTCGGCTTGGTCCTCATCAAAACCAACCACCTCCCCCTCGAATTCGTTTTTCACCCCGGACAACATCCGTGAGATTATAGTTAAAAAACGCAGGGCTAGAGCGCTTTATCAGCACTCTCGGCTTCCCTCACATAAGCAAATTTATAACAAACTGTCTAATAGTCTCAAAAAATTACTAGCTAAACACAAATCTAACTCTTTTGCCAGTTACTTAAAAAACCTCTCCCCTATAGACGGTAGCCTATGGAGAGCAACAAAGCGTGTTTGCAAAACTATAGCCCCAAATACTCCAATCAAAAAACCGGATGGTAGCATGGCAATCACTGATTTGGATAAAGCCGAAGCTTTTAAACAACATCTGTCTGATATTTTTGTCCCGCACTCCGATATTTACTCTCCTCAAAATATAAACACTGTCGAAGAATTTCTTAATGCCCCACTCCCAGTGTATTCCCCTGTCAAACCTTTTACCCCAAATGAAGTAAAATATACGATTGATAAATACCCCCCCAACAAATCTCCTGGGTTCGATCTTATCACAGCTGATGTTGCCAGATGCCTTCCCAAAAAAGCAATTGTTCACCTCACACACATTTTCAACGCTGTCCTTAGACTTTCCTACTTTCCATTGATTTGGAAATTCTCAATCATTATCCTGGTCCCCAAGCCCAATAAACCTCCTGACTCCACTTCCTCTTTTCGCCCAATAAGTTTACTGCCTTTCTTTTCTAAAATCCTAGAAAGACTATTATTAAAGCGTATTCTACCAAGCGTCACGTCAAATTCCATTCTTCCTGACTCTCAGTTTGGTTTCCGCAATGCTCACTCAACAATCCATCAAGCCCACAGATTGGTAGACTCAATCTCATTCGCACTAGAAAAAAAATTATACTGCACATGTGCCTTTTTAGATATATCTCAGGCTTTTGACAGGGTTTGGCATGATGGGCTATTATACAAACTGAAGAAATTTTTACATCCGGTCTTCTTTCTGATCATCAAGTCTTATCTCTCTGATAGATACTTCAGCACTCGTATTGGTGATACTCTCTCATCTATAGCCAAAATCTCTGCGGGTGTCCCCCAAGGGGGCATTCTTTCCCCTTTGCTCTATAATATATATGCCTCAGACCACCCTATCACACCCAACACTCAAGTCGCTGACTATGCTGATGATAAGGTAATCATCTCCACAAGTCCTGATCCTATCACAGCTTCTAGCCATCTACAAAATCACCTATCTCTCATGCAAGACTGGTACACTAATTGGAGGTTAAAAATAAATCAAGCTAAATCTGTGCATACTACTTTCACTCTTAGACTTCTACCTTGCCCTGCTGTCTCCATCTTTGACTCCCAAATTCCCAGTTCTCAAACGGTTAAATACCTCGGTCTAATCCTAGATCGTAGGTTAACTTGGGCTCCTCATATTAAATCTAAGCGCCTAAATCTTAATGCTCGTTTTCGTTTGCTCAGAACATTCATTAATAATAACACACACACTAACCTTAATACAAAACTACTTATCTATAAATCCCTAATAAAGCCTGTATGGACATATGGCATCCAGCTTTGGGGTAATGCCAAAAAATCTAACCTTAATAAGATCCAAACCTTCCAAAACTTAACCCTCAGGAAAATACTCAATGCTCCACCTTATATATCGAACAGCACTATCCACTCCGACTTAAAAATAAAAACTGTCCAGGAAGAAGCTAAAGCGCATTACAAGCGTTTTCATAACCGTCTGTCCACCAACAGTAATCCACTAATCCGTGATCTCGCAGTTCCGACCATACCTGGCAATCCTCCCAGGCGTCTAAAACGCAATTGGTGTCGTGACCTCCTTATCCCCCCCATTCAAACTTAAACAATTAAAACAAAGAAAAACAAAAAAAAAATAAAAAAAATAGTAGAAATACCCATAGTTGAGTGTCATTGATGGATGGCTTCTCACAACCCGTGTATTCATGTAAATATATATGTTTAGGTTAGTATTTGTACTAATGTTAACTGTATATGTATGTATCTCTCATCGCATGTACTTATTGTGCCTCATAGGTACAGATTGTATATTTCAAATAAAGTAAAAAAAAAAAAAAAAAAAAAAAATATATCACTTAATAAAAAATTAATAATTATAATAGGTACCTAGTTAATGTCTTCATGGATATTTATATGAAAAATCTCGATATACTTTTATACCTACCTATATATGTGGTTCAGTCATTCATAAACCATAGACACAAAATATTAAATAATATAACACTATTCGATATAGAATAATATTATTGTCATACAGGTTTAAAAAAATTCTAATTTTAAATCTAAAATTTAATTCTAATATCGCATTAGTAATAATCTTTTCGCTATAATGTCAATAAATAATTTTGAATATCTCAATTTTAATACCTTATGAATAACAGTAATGAATAATAAGAAAGAGAAGTAGGTAATGAATAATACCATATGGATACGAAAAAATGCATATTATCATTCTTATGTCGCATTAGTAATTATTCTTGTCATAATGTCAATAAATACTATAGAAAATCAGATCGTTATATCCGGATGACGAAAACACACTGCAACACAATATGATATTATATAAAACCAACCAAGTACAAAAGCAGATGCAGGGGAATCGTTTTATCCGGGATATTCGCTTTATATATATATTCGGCACCGTGATGAGTGGATTATACACTGTAAATCAGCGGTTCCCAAACTTTTTTAGCTCACGGCGCCCTTTTTGAACTAAACTTTTCTCAAGGCGCCCTTCCCAAGACATAGCATGAATTTATTTTTAGACCAGGTAAATTTCTACGGCGACGCGGCGCCCCTGAAAAGACATCGGGGCGCACCAGGGCGCCGCGGCGCACAGTTTGGGAACCGCTGCTGTAAATAATTATTATAAATGGCACTACCTTACCTGAACAACGTTTTCCTGATGACCGCGACGAATGTGATGGCGAGGAAGACGAATGCGAACGACACCGAAAGAGTGTTGGCCAGCTGAATGCCCAGGGTCGGCGTGTATCTGCCTCTGTAAATCCCTGAACTGAGTTAAAATGGCACGTGGTCAAATAAACCAACCAAGACGTGTCGAGTATGTGAAACGCTTTTGAAAAGTATTCGATATTTAGGTATATAGTACAGGGTTATTCAAAATGATTCATCCGATTTAAAGTGATCTGATTATTTTATTTTTTATGCTTAGAACAACATGTTATACATTAAATAAAAGAAAAATATGTCAAGTTTAATTAACTGTATCTATAGATGTTCTATGTGAGCTCCTTTGGTTACACGAATAACATCTAGTCGGTAGTCAAATTCATACCATACTTTTTGCAGCATATCTTTTGCAATCGACTCCATGGCTGTTTCTATTCATCTAGATTTGATGGCAGTGTCTTTAACATATCCCCAAAAGAAATAATCACATGGCTTCAGATCTTTATAGCCATTTTAAATCGGATGAATCATTTTGAATAACCCTGTATATTAGGTATCTAACCTGTGGCGGGGGTGATCGCGCAAAAAGCGAACTTCGACTTTGGAGGGGTGTATCGTGTGTGTATTCTGACTCATGTGTAATTATTCTCCGTTTATAAACGTGAAATATCAACACTGTCCGGATAATGTTAACGCTAGCCTGTCGATATAGTGGATACTGGATAATGTTAAAAGTTCTAAATTCGATGCAAGTTTAAATCTTCTAGTGTTTTGTGCAATTCAAAAATGTCACGGCATAGTTAATTAATAACTAACAAGTAATAAACTAATTATAACATTTGATAACATTTAAATTCTATATTTCAAAGAAAATATTAAAAAAAAAAAATACCTACTCAATTTAATGCTGAATTATTTTTTCCTTATTAAAAACTATATAATAAAATTTAAATTATATTTTACTCTTATTATTTAATAATAGATTTATGATGATTATTAATTGTTTGTAAATTAAAATTATTTTATCTCATTGACTGATACATTATTATAATATTTGTTGAGACATTATCCAAAGATCCTATTGGCTAGTATTATATTAACCGGCTAATGTTAACATTATAATATTATCTATATTATTAATTGTCTCATCACTATACCGAGTATCAAGTATCAATAACGATTTTTTAAATCGATAATGGAGATTATAGTAGCTATCTATGACTATACTATATACAGTGCTTGAATTTGAAAACAAATAGAAGGGGGATGCAAAAGTATAAGAGATATGTGCGTCCCCGCTACAATGACATTTTACATCATACAGCAATAAATAACCTAACCTTTTTATTTAAAAATTAAAAATAAAATATTGTAAAATACATAATAATAATTGTTATTTGTTTTATAAATTTAAATATGCCCATAAATGTTTATATGAATGATCTATTAAAAAAAATAAAAAATATTTCCATTAATTTAGTACAATTTTTAAAATGATTCCCGTCCCCATTAAAAGAAATTAGAAGGGGTACGCTAAAATATTTTTAAAATAGAAGTGGGACTCCGTCCCCCCCGCGTCCCCCCCCAATTCAACCACTATATTATATATATTATATATTATATTATATACGGTATACCTAAACAGCTATGTATGTGTGCGAACCAACTACGTCACTCATTGTATTACATTCATATAGTCATATAGGTAGGTTTATTTATCTCGATATAATGAATTTATTTCTTATATTAATTACAGAGGACTTTATCCTGATATATAATGAACTTACAGCATTTTTTACACACTAGTAAACATTGATAACGATTAACCTTAAACAGTTTATTTTTGAACATATTATTTTGTTAATAGTTATTTGAATGTTTTTTATCGAAACATGTTTTCAAGTAGGTAATTGCGTTATCGAAAAAATTGCTGTATGTGTAATATATATCAATGATTTAAATTGGTTCGTTCTATAAATATAATACATTTATTGAACGGAGTTGATTAACACAAAATAACAATGCAACATGAATCAACCTATATAGACTTGTGTTGAACGATGATAATATATTATACGTATTTAAATTAAAGATCGTCCGAATTACCCATATAAAATTCCTAAAAAATCGGTGGTATCTATAATATTATAATGTAACGTTGTCACATATTCGAATACGTCTTATAGGTACGTCTTGTCAACAATTTGCTACAATTATGATAATGTCAATTTATCTTTTATTGTCGTACTCACAGACATGCTTCGTCCATTCCAGGTCTGCACACGCACAATCCGTTGAAACAAAACGTGGCATCCGGATTATGACAACATTGTGTCACTGCGCAGCTTTCTTGGAACACTATATAATATATTTCACATAATATAACATATTATACAATTTTTTTTTTTTTTGAGTATGTCTGGGAGTAAGCCCGAAGGCCTAGTTTGGACGCCTATTTGGCAGAATTTCTAATTAAGCACCCGTAGGTTTCTGACATACCAAGTTGGGGAATGGCGGTCTCGCCGTCTAAACAGTTGCCTGCTCAGAGAGCAATTCCGCCCGTGGCCGGGATTCGAACCGGCGACGGTGAGCGTTAAAATCGACGCTATATAGTCCGCTCGGCCACTATCCGTCATCCACATATTATATAAAGATACAATATAACAACAGCGTACTGAATGGTATATTACTATGTATATTACTTGTTGCCTATTATTTGTTTTATGTTATATTTAAAAGAAATGTATTCATAGTATGTTTAGGTAGATAAGTAATTTAAAGAGATGACTCTAGAAGGTTAGATAATTAGTAATTACCCTCCCAAGTATGTCCCAGTGCAGGGCCGGATTGGTATGTATCGGTCCATCGAGATTTTCACTTCTATATAAGCAGCCCATTTACATATTCAGTGGCCCAAAATTACGTCTTTAATTACAACGAGCTTATAGGTGGCCAATCGTATTTTAAACATGAATTTATTTTTACTCACACTCACACGACCGGCCCACCGAGATTTTCTCGGTAGCTCCCCTAACCAATCCCGGGCCTGTCCCAGTGGCATAATATTATGCTTTCTTGGAATCAAAATCAACGGACACGATTGAAACTACGTGAGAGGAATCATCTTAATAATTTAATTTAGAATAAAATTGGATTCATCAACAATAATAAATAAAAAATAATGAAAGAATATTGAAATTCAGATTCAAACATGGCTAAATCATTAACGTTGAAGTGTTGAACGCGTCTATAATATTTATTGAACGTTGGTACTGTAAAAAAGACCTAATCTCCATCAACAAAAATTAATATACTAAATTGAGATTTTTTTAACAATACCAGACTGTAATCCATAAGAAAATTATGATTTAATGACATAAATTCAAAAATAAGATTTAAACAGTTTAAAAATTCCGCTTAAATACACGGGGACATATATATATATATAAGACTTACGCGAACATAGGCGACAGTAGGCCGTCTCGGAAGTCTTGTTGAACACTTGATAGAAACTCTCGTCGCACTTACACAAGTGATTCTCACACCTGGTGAAACCGAACTCGGCCGGGCATTGCGAGCTGTCGTTGCAGTGGTACACGAGTGGTAATTCCGTAAACACGAAACGAATTAAATTTGACGGTTCGCGTGATACGTCTGCCGCCGCTGCAAAATATAATTATATTTCAATACGATATAATTAATAATTAGTACCTGTATACCCTGAAATCTGAATACACAATAATAATATAATATGTGTGTCGTGTACCTTTCTTTATGGCATAGACATAATATTATAAAGAAATGGACTGATGGACGATAACAGAGAGACAGGACCGAAGACCAACATTGTTGGAAAAACAAAGCATATACAACAATTTATTAGTGCTAGGGCTGGTGGAATTTGAAATTTTAATACCGGTACAAATGGTATACCTATACAGTATTTAGTATTTTCAGTGAATCTAGAACAGCCATTTCGATCTAGAAATATTTTTTGATACCGAGAGGGAGTTTTTACACAAATAAAAATGGCCAATGGGCATATAATAAGATACGTACAAGTGCGTAAGTATAAATGTATAACATAGGTAGATATCAAATTTAAGTCCAACAGAACCAAATCTGTGTTGTTAGATAATGTTAGCGTGATTTGACATAGAATAATTGTAAAAACTTGAAGGTAAGAACATTATCTGTGTATGAATGAGTTATGAATATGTGTAGCATATTAAACATATTATAATAAATTATTAAAAATACTCTCAATTCACTTAAGAATTAAAATATAGTACCTAAAAAAAATGTAGAAACACAGATAACAATTTTTAGTGTTTAGTAGTGTTTACCCATATATTAAGTTTCGATAATAGGTCAATTCACTCTAACAATCTAACCTTAAACCCGACATCAAAAAATTAAAAGTAAATTGTCTGTAGTGTACGTTTGTAAGAACGTGACTACAAGTGCTGTTGAGACGTGCTCAAGAATAAGGATATAGATATCCAATGTAAGGGGCAACAACCGTGCAATTTCTAGTACGTTGCTTGGAGTGGATAATATATACTTGCCAATGATGGTTTAAACGCAGTCTTGTAAATATACTTTTAAAATTGTATTTAAAAACAGATACAAATACATTCATTCAGAAAGTACTTAAGAACAATTACAAATACTTGCCATGGCCCATGAGTGATTTGGTTTTCGCCCAAAGAAATAATATTCATAGTGAACGAAAAAACGTTATAGTTACCACTAACCACTGTCTACTAACATAAAAAAAAAACAACAAAATATATTTCAGCTAAAAGTGGAAGAAACTCCAGATTTTAAATTAAACTATACACCGTCATCTCACAAACAATTTGTAAAAAAATACAAAATTCAATTCTGGTTGGCTCACACGATACGAATTTATAAAATCCATGTGGCAAACCTTTGACAAACAATTTGTTTTTGTTATTGTACTATTTTTTTTTAATATGTTGTAAGCTTATACGCCATTTAAATTTTACATTTCTATATATATATATATATTTACATTGACTTATATGTTTTGCATTTATCTATATGTGCCAAAACTTCTACCAATAATTTAGTTTTAATAATACTCTATTTTTTTTTATGCTTTACACCATTTAAATTTGCAAAAAAACCATTTAAGGTTTTATATTTATGTATTATAATATTATTTACAATGACTAATATGTTTACACTTCTTCCTTTTATATGTGTTTTAAATGTATAAACTTCTGTTTTTTAAATATTATGTAGGTATACACATTTTCAATAAAAAAAAAATACAGTGGTAACCAAAATGTTGTTACGTTAACTATGAATAATATTTCTTTGGGCGAAAACCAAATCGCTCTTTTTTATGATTGGGTAAAAAAGGTCATTTGGGCGAAAACAGATCCGCCCTCAGAAGTCAGTATACCTATATTATTTGTAATAATCATAAACGAAACATCGCCAATAGGGGCACTCAACATTTATGAGTATGCAAATATTAAAAATAAAATAATACTAGGTATTATCATCAAAAAAATCTGACACTTGACAACTGACGAATAATACAATCATTTTGAATTTTAAAGTATTAACATAAAAGTATTATAATTTCAAATACAAATACGTCAAATACTTACAGAATTCAAATAATTTAATATACTTTAGAAATACTTGATTCAAAAATTATTTTTAAAGTATTCCGCATATACTACCTATAAAAGTATTTAAATACAATTACACAAATAGTCAAATACTTTACGAGGCTGTTTAAAAGTATTATATTTAGTTCAGGTTTTGAAATTTCACGAAATTAATTTTTCTATTCATATTAATGAAAGATTAAAAAACAAATTTTATTTTAAAACTTTAATAGAAAGTACAGTAAACACCTCTACTTAGTTAAGTGTTAATGAAAAATATTATAGAAATATTTCTTACATAGTACAGTATATAAATTACATAATAATTATCTATCTATTTTATATTATGATCTGGAATTAAATATTAATATTTAATAATCACTAATCATGTATGAAATCAGTGATGATTTTATGAAACATACAAAAAAACACAATTTAAAAAAATATATTTTTCAATATTTCAAGAAAGGTTAAAGGTTCAAGTTTAAAATATTTCAAAGTGAAAATGTCTTGTGAAATATTTCATACTCAAAGTCATAAGCATAACCATATATTTAGTTCATACTTGATGCAACTATGAACTAAGACTAAAAGTCTAAAATATTGGGGGCGACTACTGCAGATTATAGAATGATACTAAAAGTAGAACTAGAAATTTAGTATACTTATATATGAAGCGTGCCCACCACCTACAATAATTTTATAATTCGTTAACTCTAATTATTAGAAAATATAATATTAAAAAAATCGAAATTTGAATGAATTTATTATTGAAGAAAAATGGAAGAGGGATGAACTCATGCTTGTTGAATAAAAATGTAGGTACAAGTGTATAAAAAAAAACTCAAGGAAGTGGAGTTCGGGATCAACCGCGGTTATCATTATTTATGAATACTTAAATAAGAAATTTAAATTATATATTGTGATTAGCTATGTTCATCAAACCACCCCCCGACCACAAGTGGCGTAATTTTAGTTTTATTTTTTAATACGCCGCTTATTTTTATGGATTCCACACAAGCCCTGTCTAGAATTTATAAATTTTCAGACCAACCAATTTAAGAACTGCACAAAATCACAATACTATTGGATTTTAAATACCACGCTGCAAATATGTATACCTTGCGCTTGGGCAGCCCAAACAAATATTGTTCTTCAAAAAATGTTAAGAAACAATACGAGCCCACAAATCGGGATACCCATATATTTTACACTACCTACAGATATAATGTACCTACTTATAATATGTATGCGGAGAGTTTTTCTGAATTCTTATCGTATCGGATTAACGGCGGAACACCGCAGCTAAGTATTTGCTTATTGTTGCATAATAAATATTAAATACACAGAAAGTTATCAACACGCAGTACGGGGGTTAGTGAACTGCTGCAGCAGTAGTACACAACTACACTAGTACCTACACATTATACATTAACACCAATTTAACATAATATTAAGTAAGTATTATAATTATTCGTATATGCAGCCAAAAAAAAAAGCGAGGTGGCACTTGTGCACAGCGCGTACACGTGCGTTATTAAATACGCGCAACAGGTAAACCCGTTCGGTTCAAGGTCTGAAATCTTCAAACTAGGATATTATATTATATTACGTATATTATATAGGCATGTACTCTGCTCTGTAAGCCCGTTCGTTTTACGCACGTCATAATATAGAGACTAATTATAATTTATAACACTCTCGGGATGCACATTAACTGTATATATAATTATCTGCAGCTCGGTGACGTTTGACGAACTTCACCGAGGCCGCATAAGCTGAACTTGATAAACGACTATTATTCGGAGTGCCGATGAAACCTTGCTGCCCTATTTTTTCACAAGGTTTATTATTCGCACGAATAACCTTATGACAAAAAAATATCATAATCAACTGGGGAGGCTATGATTGAACAGTCGGGAGGGTTTAGGTTTAGATCGTAATGTCTATTCGCTTATACATAATATACATTAATTTAATAATTTAACATATATTTATAATATAGGTGCGATTGAAAATGTCGATCTCAAAATTTTTCTACGACTGGCTAACGACTGAATGATTATATTAGTTTAACTGACGATAATACAGTATAGAACAACGCACAAAAAAAATCGTCTTACCGGTTTCGTCGTCGTCGAGCGTCTTCGACTGCTGCTCCGATGTGACGAACATCGCAAACGTCAGGACCATCGCAAAGATCATTATCATCAGCTGTGTCGTAGGCATGATAATAAAAAAAAATACTAAATAATAATATAATAACGGCGCGTGTCAAAAAATAAATAAATCACATTACACCATCGGATGGCCCAACACTCGGACATGCGTACGCGTTTACGTCGGGCGGCCAGAGCACGACCTGTTGCTCACGATGTGGGTAACTGCACTATTTATAATATTCAAAACTCGTACCTACGATGGAACTCTCGTCGAGTGGTGTAGCTATAATATACGATGAGTATATATTATAATAATTATAATAACGATAATATTATTATTTATTAAATACACACGACGTCTACTCGCGGTGCACATGTGTGATGTGGTACGATAATTATTATTTTGCTGCTCTTTATATATTATAATAATAATAATAATAATAATAATAATATACGGAGACGACTGACAAGGAGGAAGGAAAAAGTCATAATTGGTCTATAACCGAGATAATAAAAGCCGAAGAGCTCCGAACGATGATGATTACATATACAATATAATATGTACACATAAGTTTATGTTTTATATATTATGCATAGGCATTAGCACATAATTTAAAACAAACAATTATAACGACCTGTTACAAAAGGTTTTTGTCCGTTTGATAAGTATGTTGTACTAGTATAATACATATTATTATAGTATTGTATTGCGGCACAATGATAATTCATATTATACCTACTTAATATATATAATAATAATAATAATAATAATAATATTATAACACGTCGTGTGCTGTTTGTGTTTATTATATTATTATTATTATGTAAACACTAAATGCACACCGGTACCACGTCCGAGTAAAACACATTTTGCGAATCCGAAAATGGTAGGTACAATATATTATACATTTTATAATAGGTTAAACTGAAACGTCTGAAATCACTTTGTATAAATTATAATAATATAAGATATTACGTTACAACGTGAGTTTCAGGACGTAATCGTTATTTAATGTTGACGTTTTTTTTAAATTATTTATTTGTTTATTTATTCGTGTCGTTTGAACATAAGGTAGTCAATATTATTTACAGCGTGTTTCGTATATAATATATAAATGTAGAATTTTTTTCGTAATTGTCTCCTAATTAGGTACTTAGAAAATTCCAAATGTTGATTTATATTTTCAATTTGTCAAGGCAACCAGGGCTTTGACGACGTCTCCGTGACATTCCCTTAACGTCCTCTCAGCCAGCGTTTTCGATATTTCCATTTCTCGTATCTGTGAACAAATATATAATTTTATCACTCATAATAATATGGACCGCTATAATTACACAGATTATTATTATTATTGTTGTTGTTGTTGTTATTGTATAATTATAATTGTATTCACAATAATTAATAATTAACCCGTAATCTTATGGCATCGAGGTGCCGACGTCAATGTGGCTAATAGCTATAATACTCTAATAGCCTATGAGTAACGGAGAGAAACAATGTAAATAACCCGATACGATTCGGTACGAAGCGCATACGCCGTGCACCGTGAGATCATAAAAGTATTAAAAAATGACTTAATGTACGAACTATAATACATTAATACTATGATAATATTTTAAATACCGTTTTTTTTTCTTTAACGATTTACGATAATAATAATTTATATTTCTTTAATATGCCAATAAATTATAGTTAGGTAACTATAAGCTATACCTAGTTACAACAGTTTTATACGACGGATTAAAACAGTTTTGATTAAAGTGGATTTTTGTATAGAACAGAGATTATTATTAAGCACAAAATCCCAAAAATGTAGGTGAATGCTCTATGCAACTATGCCTATGATGGTACATCGCAGTGACGGAGCATTAAATAAATAAATCATTTTTTAGATTTTTTAATAAAAGAATTAGAATACATTTTGTTTATGAATTCATATACGTTAAACTATTTTAACTAAAGTCTAAAACAAGATCGTTTTATGTAATATTTGACAACAAAGCCAAGGTTCGGGGAGTAGTCAAATATATTGTATTCACACACTATATTTTTATTGTTTTTGAATTAAAAAAAATCATATACCTACCCATTTAATATTAAAACAAATATTAAGAAAACAAAAGGTTGTATTTTCGTAAGAAATAACAAAATAATAACTTATACAACTGATGATTCAATTTATAATTCAGTAGTATTTACCAACCATATCTTAATCGTGTGAAATTTTGTAAAAAGGTCTAGTTTGTTTAATAGAATTTAAATGATGTTCGGTATATTAAACAAACTAATCACAATAAGTTAAGTTATCTAGTTATTATAATGAGTCAGAGAATAACTAGTATTATATATAAATATATTAGTTAGTACTAACTTTTAGTGTTTCAATTATTTAATTACATACTCAAAAAAATTCCAAAGATTATTAGTTATTACTAAGATAAAATATAATTAATATAACATTCCAATTTTTTTCCAGGCATATGATTATAAACTATAATTTGTAAGAACACTGAACACATAAATATAAAATACTAATTTGTAAAATCTCATAATTCTATCAGAAATGAACATTATATGACTTAAGCAAATTTTACTCAAAAATTTTGATCATGAGTCATCTTATCTTGAAATTCGAATGATGATCATGCATTTAAGGTTTGGGCATTCAGGTGCTACTTAATATATTCTCATTAGTGTTTTAACAAGCCCTAAAGTACTTACACGTTTTTATCTATATTGAATTTTAGTTATCAAAATTAAACTTTAAAATATCTCCTAATATTAGGCTTATATGGCATTAAATAGGAAATAATAAATTTGCCAAAATACCAATTCTATAAATCCATATGATTGATAAGATTAAATTTGAAAGTTTAATCTAGGCATAGTAAATAATAATTAAAATTACCTAATACAGTGAAACCTCGATAACTGGAACACCTATAACTCGAAGGAATATCTTTGCTCAACATAATATTTTTTATAACTCAAATTTTTGTTTGTCCCCAACTGATTCGAGTTATTGAGGTAATGTATTATACAGAAATATTTTTATAAAAAATTAACAACTAACAATTAAATTCATCAATAAAATAATAATTGTGGTCTAATTATTATTAAAGGAGTATAATAATAATAATAATAATAATAATTTATAATATTTTAAATATCTTTAAATACAACTTAATAAATTATTATAATTATAAATTGATACATTTTGTACAACATAATATTACTAAACAAGAATTAAAGAAACATTGGTAAAAAGAAAATTGTTGTTAGTTATAGATATTACTTTATTAGGTAGCTACAATTGATAATTGTTTAAAGAAATATTGAAATATTTGATTTTAGAATCAGACATGGTAAATTGTAGATTATTAAGGGTTTACAATACAAAGAAATGTTAGTATAATAATATATACTGTATTCTAGAAGAAAACTTATATTATAATTTATGTTTAATTTTACTCTATTTTACTATTAATATATTATTTTTACTATCATAATTTAAAGACATCCTTGCAGCAATGATCATTGAAATTAAAAATTGTATTTTAATATTAAGTAGTCTCATAAGGTTTTTCATAACAAATAAAATATTGGTTATTTGTTTTTATCAATAATTTAAATGCTTTTCAATAAAAATTAATTCAATTTCAATAAAAAAAAATTATTAGTTGACTGACAAGTTGATTTTTAAATGTAAAACATGTTTGATGTTAAGATGAATAATAATATGAACCACAGTATACAAACAATTTATACTATTATAAAGAGTAAACATTTGTTGCTTGTAACGAATAAACTCAAAAAATACTGGATTGATTTAAAAAATTTTTACACCATTAGAATGATACATTATCCCTGAGTAACAAGGCTAATTTAAAAAAGAGTAAATTAGAGGTCCTACCCGGGAAGTTTTGTAAAATAGTGATTTTGAGATTTATGATGGAAATGTTTGTTTGTAAATGGTTGTTATTGGTTTTAATAATAATTACCTATTATTAAAGCGATATGTCTGTTGGTGCAGTGGCACTTCTATGTATTTTAGGTAGCTATACGTATCGGCGTGGCTCATACGCTCATACTAATAAATCAGTGTAACCACATACACCAATACTTAGACATTAGTTATAGTAGAAGTTTTAGTTATATTTAGAGTTGAACAATCACAATTTTTTTAATAATTGATATTTGATATGGGCAATGAAGTGTGTGGGATCAGCTACATTATAATAAATCAGAAGAAATATGGCATACACATTTTGTACAAATATATTTATTAAAAACACAAATATTTGGCCTGGACAACGTCGAGCAGGACAGCTAGTATTAAATAAATACAATAAAATACTAGGTACCATGAAGTATTAGAATATATATAATACGAAACAGAAAATGTCAAAATTATTTTTCTGTTAGCAATTATGTTCAAATACTGAGATAATATGCTAAAAAATATAGTACCTACCTCCCCCTCTTTAACCAAATGAATATATTATTATTAACTTACAATCAGTTCAACATCAGACTTTTTTATGGAGACCTTTTGCAGTTCTTTTTCTTTTGCTATTTTGTCGGCCGCTTCTTTTAACCTCCTGTCACCAATGATGGTCATTGCCTATTCAACAGATAATACATATTTATATCGCTCATATGTGTTGTACTAGCAATGTGATAATTACTCCAGATATGTCATCGGTCGATATGACTTCCTTTTCTTCCGCATAGTCAGTCACTTTTTCTAGATCCGCTGCTCCGCTGTCATATTTCACAGTTTTCTTAGCATTCACATCATCTACATTTTCGGTTTGTTCATCGGTACCACCGACACCGTTTACCGCTGGTTCTTCTGACATTATACTGCCGTTTAGCAACAACAAGTTTTAAACGGCAATTAGTTAGTTTGAATAGATTAAATCGAAAAAATGAAAAATATGTTTTTAAATTTAAATATTTAAGATATTATTATTTCAATTTTTAATGCAGCACGAGAAGTCACGAAGAAAGCATGATAATGTGATAACTGATAAGCATTATCACAACCGTTGACTATCGTGCACCCGCCAATCACATTAATCCCGGTTCTTCCAATACATGAAGTTAGTGACAATATCCTGAAACTATGCTTTAAAGTAGTATTGAAACAACAAACGGCGGCAATAATATTGGTCCACGGAACAAAATAACAAATTTTACTATACGTCATGGTACATTGGAGTCTAGATTTGATTCTAACAATACAATTATTATTTTTTATTATAAGTAAATAAATTAAATCTAATTGATGCATCTATTAAAATCCTAAAGTTATTGTAACTGGGAATTGGGATCAAGAAACTTGGGAGGAAATTTTGCTAACCAAAATTAATAGCATTGTGTGGAACAAATGCACTTTAAAATTCCCCTTATGAATACAAAATCATATTTGAAAGCCCTGTTTTCAACTCTAATTTTGAAACTGTTGGATTTATTTTGCGAAAAAAATATATTAAAAAAGTTTTTACAAAAAATATGTAAAGGCGCGTCCACACGAGAGCACGCACAAGCTGAGCATGTGTGCTCACGCCGTGCGTCGCACAAATTCACATCGTTTGGACGAAATTCCGAGCACGCACGAATGCTCGCGATGCACAGCGAACGCGATCCGATTGTTGTCGGTAAATTGTGATTGCTCAAAGACATAATTGCCCGACGCACTGCTCCGTTTGGACGCGTGCGTAGAAAAAGTTCACTTGCTCATGCGTGCTACTGTGCTAGCTACTTAACTCTTTAGTTTTTTAATTACATTTTTAAACAAAATAATTGAAATGGAGTGGTGCAACGTAGACTGCATTCAGTTGATCCAAGAGTATCAACAAGAAGAAGTATTGTGGAATCCAAAACACGCATTCTATTTCTCTAAAACCAAAAAACAAGATGCGTGGGAAGAAATAGGTAAAAAGCTCAACAAAAATCCCGAAGAAGTTAAAAAAAAAGCATTAAGTCTATTAGGATCTTATCGCCGAGAAAAGGCCAAAGGGAAGAAGACCATGGGGACTGGTACAGGTACGTTAAATCATATTATATTAATATTGTATGGTAATAATTCCATTGATTATAAACACTACATTAGTATATAAGTAAAATATATTAGTATGATAATTAATGATATTATAAACTAAAATATACTTAATATATAACGGGCATCAAAAGGAGAGATAAATAAGCAGTTTTTTTACCTTTTAACACGGACTTTTAAGATTATAACTATTATGATATTTATAATATATCCACGTCCAGTGTACACTGTAACCAACTGGAAATTGTATTAATTGTTATTTAAATTAGCCATAAACTATCAGTATCACAAATAAGAATCAATATTTAGGGCCGTGCCACACTATGCGTTTTATCGGGACCAGTCGATTCCTGCCGCTGACCGACCGCAACATGTTGCGGTTTGGCAGGAACCAACTCGACGGGAAGTTTAAACAAAACACGTTATATTGTATATTTATAGCTTTGTTTTATTGGTTTATTTCTTTACTGTAAATAAATAAATTCTTAACAGCCCTAAGTTATGAAAAACCCTAAAATTAAATTTTTAAAATAACAAATTTATAAAGGAATATAAATAATTTAATTGTCCTGTACTAATAGCTAATAATACAAAAAAAAAATAACAGAAATGACTAATGACTGACAAGTGGTTAACTATTCTATATTTTATATTATTGAAAACAATACAAACTATTTGTTACATATTAGTATTATATTAGTTTAATATTATAATATAAAGAAAATATAAAGTTATTTATTATTAATTATTATTGAAAATAACATAAGAACTGGATCATCGTATAAACATTGTACTTACCTATATAAGTGTAGAATTATTTACAATTTTAAATAGAATTTACAATTTACAAAGTGGTAAAATATAAATTAATTGATTATTATTTAGGACGAAAAGACGTTTATGTTTCCAAGTGGTTTGCCTTTGAGGCTTTTCAGTTTTTGCTAGATCGAGATGATCCTCGACCAACTCTCAGTACAGATAACGTGAGTACTTATAATTAATAAATTGTAATAATTTATATTTGTATACCTAAAGATAGGTACGTAAATTAATAGTTAAACTAAATTATGAAATATTGAAATACAAATAATACAATATACAAACATAATGGTTATGCATAGTTATTTTGCCAAGGCAGTGCTCCGTTTTCACTAAAATATGTTGCAAACTCGTTTCTTATTTCATGTGCAGTAGTTTTTGATTTACGGGGAATATTTCGAAGGGGTTGTAATGGTTGATCATTTTGTCTCCAATGTCCTTCTATCAAATGTCCTTCGTCCTCTCTATCGAAACAACCGGGAGGAGTATAAGTGTTTCGAGAGAAACTACTTTTCCTTAAAAAATTATGCAAATAAACAATAGTCATCACAACAATTTCTGCTTTTTCTGGCTCTAACAATAACGGTTTACGTAAAACACGAAAAATTGAGGAACAAATTCCAAAGACATTTTCAACTACTCTCCTACATCTGCTTAAACGGTAGTTAAAAACACGCTCTTTTGAATTCGTAGGGTGGGTGCCAGAAAAAGGTTTCATTATTATTTCGGTTAGTGGGAATGCTTCGTCAGCTACAAAAACAAATGGTATATGTATACTTCTTTGAGGTAGTGGCAGTGCTTGTGGTACATTTAAATTATTAGTTTCTATTTTTTTGTTAAGATCACAATTTTTGAAAACACCCCCATCGGAAATTCTACCTTGGCAACCTACATTTGCATAAATAAAATTATAATTCGCGTCGACCAGTGCGAACAGAACGATATTAAAAAATGATTTGTAATTATAATAATCACTACCACTTTTAATCGGGCTTTGCAAAGTTATGTGTTTCCCGTCCATTGACCCTAAACAATGAGGAAAATTCCATTGCTTATCAAATTGATCCGCTACATCAGTCCATTCTTTGGGAGAGGAAGGCATCTAAATAAAAAAATAAATATATTGAAATACTTTATATTTTTTGAAAAATATTGATAAAAATGATAAATTATTTAAAATATGCATCTAAAAATATAAAATATAAGAAATATGTATTAATATGCAAAATAAAATTTCAAAACTAGCTTTGTGAAAGCATGAAACGTATTAGATAAGATTCTGAGTGAAACGATGAATGTATTGATTTTACAATGATGTGTGTTTTTTTATTTTTTTTTATTTTTTTTGTGTCTGTGTACACGATAAGTAGTCAAAATAATGCTACGATTTTCATTTTTAGTATCTTGTTCGATCAGAAAGTGAATATCGTTGGTGCTTGGGGAGGTCAAAATTTAAATTTCCCAGTAGTTTTCAAAAGCGCCGGGAAAAACAAAAGAAAAATTAAGGAAAAACGGGAATTTTTACCATCCATTATACAGTGACCCACTTGTAATCTACAGTACAGCAGAGCACCTTTTTGGTTTCTTACTCTGCTATTTTTGTGATAGTGCTAAACAAGTATGCATATGCTACAGGTTCTCTGCTCTACAGTCATAATTCTTAAGTTCTTACTTTCACAAAAAAATAAGTAGCGGAAAGTTACATTGATTCGTATGTTTGTTTGATGTTATGAATAATCTAAATTTGTCTTATTTATATAACATATTTTATTTTAGGAAGATGTTTTAAACGAGTCGGGAGATGTGCATGACAGTGGCGACTTACCAGAATGTGAATTAACTCAACAAGAACAAGAAATTAACCCTGAATCGTTCTCTATTCCTGAACAACCAACAAGAAAAAAAAAAAAGACTCAAGTATCGGATAAATGCATAGAGGATGCTATTGAGATTTTAAAACGACCTTATCCAACTCTCTCTACACCTGATGATTGGTCAGTTTATGGACAGCATCATGCGAATAAACTTCGCAAATATACCCCCCACGCTAGTTCCATTGTCCAACATTATTTTAATAATATATTATTTGAAGCCGACATGGGAAAATTTGATCTACCTAATAGCCATGTACTTCAACAACCTCAATATCCAAATTTCAACTCCTATTCAACACCATCTGCAACATTTTCTCAAAGCTCTCCATTGTCATCAACAACATCTCCTTATCACTATACGCCCGTCACTTCATTGTCTCCAAATGAACCACTTCACGAGTTTCATTCACCAGTACCTCAAACGGCTCAAACTCATGACTCAGGACTGTACAACCATACTGAAACTCAGCCAAACTCATTTCCCTAACATTATTTGATAATTTTTTTATTTTATTTTATTTTAAAAGTATTATGGAAAGGATTTTCATACATTTTGTTAAAATTTTAATTTGTACAATTTTTTGTTAAACGCAATATTATAAAGGTTTAATATGTTTTTTATTTTAGTTATTTGTTTCTCTATTTGACAAAAGAATGTCATTTTAATTTTTATGCAATAATATACTTTTTTTGATGTACTTATTGTCTAGCTGTTTTTATTTAGAATTTCCTCATTATTTTAGTTTTTATATTACCTTAATATATGGCTTCAGAACTTCAACAATAGCTTGACAAACTTCCGGTACTATGAGTGATATAAGTTGTTTTGATATCAAAAACGTATACTGGAGACTAGTGTAAGAGTCTCCTGTAGCAAGGAATCTCAATGTAACTGCTAACCTTTTGTCAACTGGAACTGCGTTTCTCATGTTAGTGTCATTTTTCATAATTTTTGGTCCAATTTTGCACAACAAAAATTCAAAGTCTTCTGATTCCATACGAATAAAGTTTTTAAACTGTCCAGTAGTTTTGTCAAATTTTAAATGATCCAATAAATTTGTCCCAGTTTCTCGTTGTCTAAACAAGTGAGTGGTCCACCATCTTCTATTTTGTCGACTTGTCTTTTTTTTGTTTTTTAAAACAGAATGTAACACTATTAACGCGGCACTTTTAACTCATGTTCCAGCAAAACTAAATTATTTTCATGAAGAGACATGATTAATTATTATTTTAATAATATATAATCAAATACAGTAATTAAAATGTATTTTATTAGTAACTAAATTGTACTACAACTGCTGTACTTTGTTGTAAACGTCATTCATTCATGCTCGCTGAACAATAACTAAAAATCCGGAACGCGTATTTGACGCACAAATATCAAGTTGTGCGACGCAGCGTCCAAACAGAGCATACACAAGCATTCGTGTTCGCACACAGCGAGCACACATGCTCAGCTTGTGCGTGCTCTCGTGTGGACGCGCCTTAAAACTTTGGGTCTAAGGTGTAAAGTACATTTGCCAAAAAAAAGTAAACTGTGTGCTTGGTACTAATTTACTACACTCGATACCCTCGCTCGGTGTCGTCGCTACACTCCGCAAGCCAAAATTATCCTTCGATTTGTTATGAAAACTACCTCGAGGCTCGAATAGCTAAGTAAATTGAATCTCGAAAAAATATTACAACTTTAAAAAAATTACACAAAAAGTATGATATTGGAAATTGAACCACAAACCCTCATTTTAAGAACTCACCAATCACCATGAGTATTTTTCGTATAACTTCTTTGATAATGGTTACCGCAAAAAAATTCAAAATCAGCGTTGGAGTCTTTTTAAAAAAAAAAAAATTGGTGGGTGGTGTGGTAAAGTGCATTCTAGCCAGAATTGTGTTTTATAAATCTTTCTATGATTGACTTTTTAAATAATCTAAAATGGTAAGAAAAATTGATCTTTTAAAGTACCTACCTACTAGCATTCTGGTAAATCTGCTGGAATAATATGTTTAACTCAAAATATAACTTAAATATTTTTTATACACCTATCTAAAAATAAAATGTGAAGTTCTTCGTCACAATTTTCATTTTTCATATAATATAATATAACCATAATTACTTAAGCACAGCTGTTGACATTTGACATATGACTCACAAGTCACAACCTTCAGATGAATCTATATTTATTTATTTTTAGTTATAAGTACATAAAGTTAAGACGTCATATCGGTAAAAATTATTTTTTTCTGTTATGTTTAAGAAATTACATATATATGAACTCGAGGAGATAGTTTTTGCAAATTGAGATGTTTCTAAACTGTAATGATGTTCAAGTTCTTTTATTGAATTTTAATATTCATTTATTATCGGAAAATATAATTCTTCAAACCTTAACATGCTTTAATGGTGCTAAACCCAGCCGGCTTCACATATTTTTAAAAGAGTTTCTCGGCATGTATAGAGACCCGGAATAATATTATGGTCTTTTATACACTTTTTTTCGGAACTTCTAACCTTATTAAATATATTCAAAAGAACGTAATAATAGTAGATATAGATCGAATACAATTTCTAATTTCGGAAGTGTAAAACTCGGATCATACGCTTGGTGTGTGGAGCGGTAATTGCCTGCAGTGGCATAATTAGGAATTTGGTTGGGGGGGATATACGTTTTTAGCAAACACTAACGGCCATTACCAATACTTTGATCAAATATTAGCAGTAAAAAAAAAGTTTTGGGGGGATCTATCCCCCTAAATCCCCCCCCCTAATTACGCCCCCGCACTGAGCGGTATAGCGCGGTACAGTTGACGTCTGTTTGGTGTTCCGCGGCAAAGTGCGTATGGGCGGCGCGTTTCTTCCCGACAATTGTCGGTCTCTGTATCTCGCGCCAAAGGAAAGTTGGCGCGGCGCGTCTTATCCAATCTAACGGCGTGTCGGTTTTAATGTGCGCCGCGGCATACTATACACGCTCCACACTCTTCGTGCCGAGCAACGCGCCATTTGATATCCACTTGATCCCGGCTTAATAGCCATTCTGATAACAACGATGGGCATTTTAGATAATTATTAAGGACGTTTCGAGTCCTATTTAACTTTGAAAACACATTATACACATACATATACATACATCAACAACTAACTTTATAATTATACATATTTACGTATTTTATCGATTTTGTGGCTTAATCAGTGTAATATTCCTATATAGGTATTTCTGGTACTTACCTAACTGTTGTATAGATTTTTATATAATAAAGCATAAGAATAAAAAATATTTTTAAATACCTACTTTCATTATAAACATGTCAGTCGTATTCCCTCAGTTGACACCGTATACACATAATATATTAATATATCGGATTGATAGAATTTATCGGCACTTAAAACACTAAAAGAGTGTAGGTAACCTAAACCTCCAAATCGATTAGGGACGTTCCAATCCCTATTACAATATACATTGCTTTTATTCAAACAACTCATTGTGTGTAAGTGTTATGTACCTATGTCTTAATGTACCTATTATGTTATTGACTATTTATTGTATTATAAAAATATAGGTTATTAAATCACAGATAAAAAAAAAATTTTAAAAAAATTAATACATTTTACAAACCTAATCAAATGTTGGTTGTGATGAATAGTAGGTATTATGCAAAATGCATGTGTTATATAATAACATATATAATAGGTAATATAATGGGTTATTCAAATATTAATCACATTTATTTCATAAGGATATAATTTAATTTTCTGAATTTTTTTTCCATATGATTTAATTAATCGTTATTAATATTTATTGGACATTTTAATGGCATTTAATGTAAGTCGCAGTATTGATATTAAACCATTATGTAATATACTAATATGATTATATTTTATACGCACGTTACACATGATTGAAATTTGATCTAACGCCCAAATAACGTGTCATGGCACTCTAAGTCTATAACACTTGGGGTGGTTTCACATGTAGAAAATTTTTGTGGTTTTAAATCACCACGAACATTCGATTATATAATTAAACAGCTAGGTATATACAGGGTGTTGCAAGATAAATGCGTCAAACTTCTAGAGGTGTCTCTACACCTAAAATGGAACAAAAAAAGTCCTCATGACCCCTACCTTAAAAAATAATTGTTGTTAGATAGAATTGAAATTTTTTAAAATTTCGACATTTTAAAGTTATAAACAATTTGTGTTATTCTTTTTACCCAAAAAATCAGGTGAGAACCTTATATTGTAAGATATGTTTTCCTAATCCCAATTTTATGAGCTTTTCATCAATACGGTTTAGTAGATATGAACATTATTATGAATCAAACTTGCGTTTAACCAAAAAAACACTAAAATGGAAATTATCACCATTATTATTAATAATTCGATTATGGTTATAAGGACTTTTTTTATTCCATTTGAGGTGTAGAATCATCTCTAGAAGTTTGACACATTTATAGTGCAACACCCTGTATAAGTCAACGTATTCACACTATAATAATAATCGACTGTAGATATATAAGTCGAGGCCGTTCGCAAGAAATCAATTGTGTTAAATTTTAGACAAATATCGGCTTTGGGTATTTAAAATTATATACGCATTGTTTTGATTGAATTTATGCACTCCATTTGTACGCGAATACGCGATACTACGCATACTACACATAAATCATCACTTTGAATGTTCGGCCACCAGTGTCAGACTGGGGTACAATAGATATATTTGAGTCAATGAGACCCCGCCGATATATAATAAGAATATTTTGTAAGTTTTATGTGAGTCCAACTTTCAGAGTTTGTGAATTACAGACAGAATACGGATGGCTGGGCCAACTCGTGTAAGTAACTTAATATATCCATGTCAAAGTGTATACCTACCTACCAATTACCAAACAATTCATCGATATTTGTAAGAATTTGCAACATAATATATTATATAGTAAGGCAGTGTATGTTCTGCCCCCCAACACTTTGAAATCAAAAAAGTTAAATGGTTAAACCCTCCTTGAAGTCTTATTAAAATCACCCCGATTGCAAGATTAGTTTCTATAGAAATATGCCTGTGTTTAAGGAGACTTTGTCAAGATATCAAGCAGATACGAATTGCATGCCAAAAAAAAAAATGTCCAAATTGCATGCCGTCTCTTGTAGGGCTTTGTCCGGATTGCATGCCGTACACCACACGTTTATTTACATGCACTTAAACAACTTTTTTTTGGACTTTCCTAATTTTTTTAAAAAAATGCATGTATAGAAACGCTCTTTTATGTATGGTTGTTACAACTGTTTAGTGATTAGTTTCTGGATTGAAATATTTTTATTAATGAAATTAATAGACTTTTATAGTTTTATATGTAGAAAAGTTGGCATACCTACATGTCATTGCCGACAACAAAATAAACAAAACTAAATTTTTAATATATTATTATGACTATATACTATATAGATAATTATATTATTATAATTGTATTCTACCTACTATTATGATATTATTA